AGCTTCAGAGCTTGTGACAGCCTTTTGCTTTCGAAGAGGCAGATGCCCAAACTGCTCACTTGCTGGGCCACCACAAGGCTGAGCTGTTTTTAGAAATCAAGGGCAGACCCCTTCCAGCCGGGGCTTTCCAGCTCCCCCCACACACTGGCACTCCCCATGGCTCAGCTCCCACCATAGGCTTGGATGGGAAACTGCCTCACATCTGGGCAGCCAGCTACAGAAACCCTGTTCTGGGGGCTGTGAGGGAGGCTGGGGTCTGTCTGTGGACCCCAGTTCCAGCTCTGAAAAGGAAAGGTGTGTCGGATCCTTTCTGCCAAAGCAGGAGGTCACCTGTATGTGCAAGTCAGGGATTCCCCCCCCACAAGGAAGTGATCAGGTCTTGGGGCAAACCGCTGGTGAGGCTGGAGCTGGCTGCAAACCACCCCCCAACACATGCCATGACCTGGAGCCAAAACCTTCAGAAATAAACAGTAAACACTGTACTGTATTTTAAAAAGAAGGCTGGTCACCCTGCGCCAGCATCAGCATGTGTGCTTGCCACAGTGCTTAAAATGCCATATCCCATGGACACAACACTGCTATAAACCATGCTGAAGTACACTTTGGAGACAACAGGCGCCCCGTGAAGTAGGTTCAAAGACCAGCAGCTCTGTTCTAAGCAATGTGCAGAAGTCTGAAGATGAAGCTTTCAGCCTAAGCTGAAAATCACCACCAAAATCTGCTGGGATGCAGCACGAAACAGTGAAGCACCATGAAGCAGGAGGACCCCCTGGCCTGGGGGGCCCATCAGCATTTTTGAACAGAAACAGTTTTCTCCACATGAGGTGTAGCGAGGCTTCTCCAGCATCTCCCAGTAGGAAGACTGGGTAGGAAGGCACTGCCCTGTTACCCTGTCCTCTTGGTCTCAGGAAGCCACATAGCCCAGGAAGGGCTGCAAATGTCCTCTCTGACACCACAGGCTTTGGAGTAACATCTTCTGATGTTTTGCACCTTCCACAGCCTTTAACTGAAATGGGCTCTTCAAAATCAAGGTTAAAACAAACTCCAAGGAAAACATATCCCCTCCGGCTGGACCAGGGTGGGTGACTGTCCCTGTCCTCATTTGCTGAGCAAACTGCCGTCAGCATTAAGCTTAAAACTTAGTTCTCCCTCCAAAACTTAGACAATTCCATCTCCTTCTGCGTCAAATGATTCTGTATCTCCTGAGATGAACAAGGCGTAGTAAAAAACCTCTGTCTTGGGTAACAAATGGAATTGCCAAGGCTGAACACCCCCTGCAGCCCCCTCCTCCCATCCCAGTCCTGGGGGAGGGGGACGAGACAAAGAAACGGAACCAGTGGTAGGGGAAGCTTGAATAAAAGGTACATGAGAACTGAAGATATGTTGACAAACCAGAGAGAGGTTGATAAACCAGAGAGAGGTTGATAAACCAGAGAGAGGTTGATAAACCAGAGAGAGGTTGATAAACCAGAGAGATGTGGGCAATTGGAGGTACTGGACGGCAAGAAAGGAAACACGCCAGAGCTGGGCAGCCTCAAACTCCCTCTCCCTGCACACCACAGGGCAGGTTTTCTTGGACTTTCCTCCTGCTCTAAGGGGCCAGTTTTAGTTTCTACAACCCTTCTCAGACTTTCCACCCGAATCGAAAGGCTCCTGCCCACAGCCTGCTTTGTTGTCTGTACATTCAGGCAGACTCATTGGGAAACCCACACATAAAGAAAGGTTACTGGTTAGAAGGAACCCCCCCCCCCAGCCCCCCACCAAA